TCACCATTGAAAATAAACAACAATATCCAAATTACATCAGCTTATATTTTTTTTTTAATATCTCTAAAACGTTCTAATTAAATAAAAAAACTTTTCATGAATATGCAAGTATAGTTTCATTATTTATTAGCTACTCTTAGACATTGACAAAATAGCTGCATAACAAGATAAAGGCAAGGAGCGGCTGAACTTTTCCTTTGAAAAAAAAAAACCTTTAGACTCTCTTTGACCTACAATTTTTATCTGGTCACATCAATACGACAAAAGAGTATGAATGTATTCAAATCATGCATTAGTATATTCACTAAATGAAAGAAACATATAGACAAATTTTCTTTCGTGTCAATCAACAGATGGTTTTTTGTAACTAGATTTAGTAAATTATACATTTCTTGAAGCAGAAAATTTCCAATGGATTTATTTCATTTGTAACTGAAAACTTGAAACTCTTGACTTTCTCAATTTGTCAGAGTATGTGGGCTTGTTATTTTCTTTTAGTTTAGAATAGATCGTATCTGGTTTTTTTTTGTTTTCTATTATTTATCAAGGTGATTGTATATGGTCATTTTCACCTGTAGCACAGAACATTGTTTAGAGTGTTTTTAAACGTTTTCGTCACCATTAAACTTATGCATTCTTATAAAATTGTATATATACTGCGAATGATTGTAGGTGTCTTTTTATTTCTGCTATATGAACATCTTTATGTTCACAATGTCCTCGTGTAAATATCAAATTTTTAATGAACACTTCAGTTCTTGACAACTACTGTGAAATATTTTGTATTAAGCCTGGAAAGCATTTTTAAAAAAATGAAGTCTACCTTGATTAATGAAGCAAATGCAGAGAAAAATTTTAGCTTTCAAATAGTCTGTCAATAGAGGGCATGATGCCTTGAAAAATATTTTCAAGAGATTAAAACTAAATTGAAGTATCATCATATCATTAATAGTAATTTCTTTTAACGAAGAAACAATCAATGTCAGCTAGAGAAAACGAACTGTGCATTTCTGTGTATACATGTTTAACAGTAATTCTAATATTGATCGTCAAAAAAAATAAACTTAATTCAAGATCATTTTCGAACGTCTCATCGGTTTACGTTGAATAGAAGTCAACGAAAACAAATAATTCATGTCTAAAATATCTCAAGAAAATTTACAGGAGCTTAACATTCACAAAAAAAATGTCAACAGATAACAAACAGAAAGAAATATTTGTAATGTCAAATGATGCTTTGCAATAGTAGATTATAAAAAACTTGATAACGTCAGTTAGAACTCAACAAGAGCTATCATTTGTGTATTATTACATGATAGTTAATTATTTATTTTATGTACTTCCGTAATATGACGTCAATGTGGCATGTTTATGTTGCAACAGAAAAGATCGCCGTCTACGGTTGTTTAAGGATCTTAGCATTCAATCAAAACTTGAGACAAATTCTTTTTCTTTTTGTTTTTATGAGCTTATCAAAATTCTTACATCTTATATATGTAGAAACTACTTAAGAAAAAGATTAGTCATGTATTATTCTTGGGTTTTACTTGATTTGAATTATATTCTTATATTCAATTATTTTATTATAATTTAATTTTTATGTCTCATATTATCATTCAAATTTTCGTATTATGGTCAATGAAATTATTTACGTAAGACAGATGCCTGTCTATTTTATAATTGAGTCAAAAATAGCGTCTTTTACTCTTGCTTTAGACATTTTCTGCTCTATCCCAATTTTTTAGTAATCGACAAGAGCGAATGTTCCCAGTTTGTCCTGCTTTTTTTTGTCTCGTTCTGTTCTCTTCTCTCTTGCCCTTGTATTTGTGCCAAATAATATACATTCATCTTAAATAAATAATAATATGCATATATTTGAATTTATTTTCTAGGAACCAGTCTAATAATTCTTTGTCGAATACTAACATTGAAGTCTACTGTATTGAATATAACAAAAAGAAGAGCGAGAGAGGTCGAATACTATTGATATAATCAAATATACTTTATTTTTTTTTTATTGAATATCGTCTGAAGCTAAAGTTTTGAATTATAATATGTAAAATATTTCTAATATAACAAATTTTAGTATAGAATTATTCTATATATATTCAAATATTTTAAGATGAAAAATCATAGTCCATAACATAATCATTATTGGTATTTTCAATAGAAACTCATTTGCATTTAAGTATTCATGTTGCTATGTTGAATCATTAACAATGTATTTGAAATCATTTTTCTTTTTGATATTTCCTCATTAGTGAAGCTATTAGTTCTTTTTTTTTTTGCAAATAAAACAAAATATTTGTATCGTTCTGCAGTTAAATGTCTGTTCTGCTAGGTCAACATCAAAAGAAATTTTTTGTCTTGTAAAAAGTAATTAGCGTTAAGTGAGAAACATTTTATATACACGCGAAAGCTGAGGCCAATAGAAGATGATGTACTTATGACCTGATACTTATAAATAAATGAGAATATATTGTTAGGTCGAATTTTGACCTATATTCCTTAATGTTGCGAAAAAAGAAGATAAGAAAATGTCGATAATATTATATATATATATGAGAAAATAAAAATACACTAAGGTTAACATAATACTTTAAATTGTAGGCAAAAAAAAAACAACAATATTATACTTATGAAACAATAACAAAAAAATGTACTATTCTCTTTCATAATTGTAATTATTTTTTGTAAACAGTAGATGAAGTAAAAGTTCTTTTTGCACTAAGTATATTAGATTGCGTGGGCTTTATCACTTTGTGTAATATTCTACGAGATAATCGTTACAAAAATATTTTTAGCTTAAAAGAAAACATAATAATGAAATTGTTTATCGAATAAAGTATAAGATGATTATCAAAGTAAATGAATTCAATCTTTAATTATATTATCTTTTGTCAAGTCGTTGAATTTAGAATGTTTATGAAAATTAAAAACCTGATCGATATTCATTATAAAACTATAAGTTTTACAATGAATGAACTGTTTTTGCTCAATAATCTTGTTTTTTTTTGTTCATTGGAAAAAAGATTCATGGGCTTCATGTAGAACAATCATTGATAGTTTTTTATTTGGAGAGAAAAAGCAATAAAATCTACTGTTGTTAGCTAATATTTTTTTAAATTTACAGAGACTAAGCTCTTTGATAAATTAGTTTCAAATATTTATTTAAAAACTTTTTAATATTATGTCACCAGTTATTGTTGATGATTTATGAGTGTTTGTTAATAGATCAATGAAATTTACAACAGACACAAAAATAAAGATAACTTTCTAAGAGAACAAAGTTGTCCCAAATAAATTTATAAAATATTTTTATTTAGTATTATTTTCAATGTAGAGTAATTAATTATCTTTATCACAATCTCATATAGAATAAAAAATATTTTATCATTGTTTACTCTATAGAAAAGAACAACTCTCCTAATTTCATAAGAAAATTGCTTTTTTTTCTTTAATTATCAAATGATGAGAGAAAAATATGAAAATAACATAAATGCTTTAGCTGCAATCTATTTCGACCTCTATAAAATTGTATCTTTTTCTCCAATGAGTAATTTTGAAGTTTCTCATTCAATAGACAGCATGAAATTTAAAGTGAATCATAAAGAATCTATTTGCAGTTTGTTTTTATATGCCTAAGCAATTGTTGATACATTTCTCGTCATCTATCATTTGTCTCAACACTCAAGTGTATGTTTTTCTCATCAAGCTGCCATACATGACATTGAGAAACAAGTGTAAAGCACATTACTTTTTGAAGCATAGCTATAAATATATTCTCTCTGTTGTGTGTACGTTTCAAGGATACATAAAATCTATACAGATACATTATGATATTCTTCTTGATGGAACCAAGATATATTAAAAATCACAATTATGAGTAGTGATGTTCGATAGATTGTTAACACTTGCTCAAGGTAAAAATAATATGAGTCATAATGTGTTTTCTTTTTTTTCATATATTTTGGCGACAAATGCCTATGTACTATTTTGATGACACCTATAATGTATTTTTCCACAATCACAAAATTTTAAAAAGGCCTTTGCATACAAAAAAGAACCAAAGTACAAAGTACATTCTTTTCTTTTTCGGCTCGTATATCAAAAAAAGATAGTAAATAGAGCTAAAAAAGAAACTGAATGAGTTAGTATAATAAATGCTTATGCAAATGAAGTAGTTTTCATTATCTTAACCGCATGATTTTTATATAGTTAAATGACTCAATCTCTTCCTGTCAAATATTAGAGTATTATAGTCATGATTTTAAAAGAAACTTTACGTACAAAAGAAAAATTGTTTTGATTGATTGATGAATATATGATTAATATACATTTCTTCTATATAAAAAATCACATGTGGAGGTCGTTTGAAATGTAGTACTTTGCTTTTTTTTGCTATTAAGAATCAATCACACAAGATTTTCATTTGCATAATAAATCAATATAAAGAATTCGAACATCTGTAAAGTTGATTTTCTATTTTTGATGCATAAGAATAAACATTTATTAAAAAAAAAACAACTTTTTTCTCTTATAAATAAATTCAACATCAATCAATATATACAGAGTTATGATTAACTCTAAGATTTCACTTCAAATAAATTGGATTGAAATCCTAAAAGTTCAAAATATAGTTATTAAAAGCAAAAAAGAAGATTTCATCAAATAAAATGGTACACACGACTTTTTTTTTTTATGTTTTTTTATTATATGTTCATCATTGGAAATAAGCATCGAAAAAAAAAACAAAACATATATATATATATATACCACTGTTTTTTTGTTTTCATCATTAACATCAAAACGATGCGGAAGTTAATAAATATAATGACAATACAGTAAAAATTTGACAACAACAACAACAACAAAAAAACAAAAAGTTTCTATATTGAGAATTAATTATAACGTTGAGATCATCAAAAATTGAAATAGATAATTGGTTTTGTTTTTATGCTAAGAATAACAAAATTATTTTTAACATAAGAATAAATCTTTTATCTACCTTCTAATACACGAGATCCAACATTTTTCTCATAAAGTTCATTAAGAGGAACCAATTGATCTAGTACCTGTAAAAATAAATTTTATTATTTATTTAACATGAAAAATAAAAATTTATTCTAACAAACCTGTAAAATTTTACTGCATAATATTCTTCCTTCTTGTGCACCACGATTTTCACATAATTCTTGATAAAGAGCATAAAGATAACATGCACGTAGCATTTGTTGTATTTCTTCATCTTCTATAGTTAAATCTATCAAAAAAACAAATTTCAATTAATTTTAATAATATTCAATATCAAAATTTAACCTGTATGACATATTTGTAAAGGCATTACCAGACTAATTTCAGCTTCAGTTAAATTAAGATTATGAAAACATCGACTAAATTTAAACATTGCATCGGCCATTTCAACTCCGTATACTATATCCATCCAATGACGTGTATATTGAAAACCATCAGAAGATATCATATATCCTTGACCATTGTCATTTAATAAACAACAATATTTAAGCTTAAATTTAAAAACAAAAAAGATTTTTATTTTATTTTATATAAAATTAAATATTTACCATATACCAATCAAATGATCGATGAAGAATCATTTTATGTAAATTAGTTGAGCTAATATTAACCATACCGGGTAGCTAAAAATATATACATAAAAATAGAAAATAATTTATTTTTTGTTTATATTTGAATGCCTACTTCTTGAATGTAAAAAACAGATGAACGAACGACAACTTCAACAGTTTCTAAAAAAAAAATATCAAGAAATAAGAAAATTTTCTTTTTTTTTTAATTTTGTAATAAATATACTTGGAAAAGTAGCAAAAAATTGTGCAACTGTTGCATTATCACCCGGATATTCAGTAATACCATTATGAATCATTTGATTCATTCGTGTTTCTAATTGTTTCACACGTTTTGAATGCCGAAGATAAATACTATATGATGACCAACGAAGAAATCTAATATGAAATTAAAAAAGAAAAAAAGATTCATATTTTTTTTGTTTTTACAATAAAAATTTTTTTTTTTCTTTTTACCGTGTAAATGCTAATTCATCTTCGGTTAATTGAACAAGTAATACTGATTTATTTTGACTTAATTTATTTGATATGCTGTATACATGTTTCAATACTTCATCAGTGAAAATACCTGTTGAATGTTCAACACAACCGCTAGTTTCATCTAATGTAAAATCATCGGGTAAATATGTTGAATATTTTGTTCGATATGTAAATGATGGATTTTTATTATGATTATAATTTAAAGTTGAATAAATATTGTGTTCAGATAGATTTGGTTGCATTATTGAGGGCTTTATTATTCGATCATTATATAATATAGAATTAGTCTCAGATAAATCATTGTTATTATTATTTGAATAAATTTTAGATGATGGATAATTTCGTCGAATAGCTGATATTTGCATATCCATCATATCTAGGTACGAAAAAAAAAACGAGGGATAAGTTGATTTTGTTTTAATGATAGACGTTTGTTTTTCTTTTTTTTTTTTTTTTTTTTTTCGGTTGACCGAATTCTCAAGAGACTTGATGACAATATTTATTTCAAAGATTTCTTATTACATATTATAAATAGACTATTTGATTTTAAGCTATCTATATGTCAAAGATAATTTTTGTCAATATAAAAGTCTATCAAATGAATATTATTTCTCGTTTCTTATTGAGAAACAAATGTTTCATAATTTATTTTCTTTTCATAAATATTGAAATAACATCTAATTGAAAGCTTTGATGAAAATAAAAGGTTATGAGTGTCGAGTTTTATTTCTGTAAGTGCAGTGGTTTTTCAAAATGACATGACTTATATTCATAAGGGTATCTTATATGAAAGAATAGAGATTTAGTTCTATAAATAGATCGTGTTTGTTCTCAAAAAATATGTTAATTAGTTAATAATCTAGAAATTATCTCACCTGTCTCCATTACATTTGGATCATAATTTTCAATGCTACTACGATCAGATAATGATGAACAAGATGAATCTCTAATATTTTCTTCATCAGCTCTTTCATTAGATTCTGTTAATGTTGCTTCCTGTCTCATTTGTTGTTCTTTTTGTTCGAGTAATGCTCTCTCTTTGACTAATTTTGGTATTCGTCCCATTTTTACACCTAGATTTATAATTCAAAAAAAAAGATATATATATATTTTAAATATGAATTTTTCTTTTTACCATCTACAGACATGCCCTTGTCTATACATCGTTGAAATCGGCATGCTTTACAACGATTACGATTGGTTACATTAACAAGACACGAATTATCAAAATAACATCGATATTTTTCTTTGCGAAGAATGCTTCGTTTGAAAAACCCCTGATAAAAAGAAACAGATAAAATATACAAATCATTCAAGCGCAAAGATCACAATGTTCTTCTATACAATAATAAGAATATATCAGACGAATTAGTTTTTAATTAAAAAAAAAAACAAGATTTAAAGTCACTCGTGTTTAATAAATAATCAAAAAGAAATAACTACATTGAATTTAACCAGAGAAAATTTTCTTATTAATCTTTATATTTTTAGTAACTGATGTACTTGTCTATCATGATGAAGTCATAAGATGAAAAGAATTTTTTTTCTTCCTTACTTTACATCCTTCGCATGTGGCAATACCATAATGAATTCCAGTAGCTGAATCTGAGCATACACGACTAAAAAAAAAAAAGAAGATATATAAAATATAAATTAATCATATCTAGTTTAGAAAAGAAAAAAAAAATTTTAATTAATAAATTCTTACCAAGCTCCAAAAGGAAATGTTAATCGTGTTCGTTTTGATTTTAATGGATTTGTTGGTGTACTTGATGGAGATATTGTTGATTCGATATTTTTCATTTTAGTTATTTCATCGTCACTATCAATTCGACAAATTACGTCACTCTCAGTCATCACAAAGAGAGAAAATTGTAGAAATAATCTATATCACTGTAAATATGCGAGTGTAATCTAAAACATAATAATAGTTGATATACATTACATTTTCTTTTGTTTTAATATAAACATTGATTATGTTTATAGATAAAGATAAGTTTGATTAAAACTTACACACACCAAGTCTTTCTTTCAACACATAAAACGAGAAAATGATAAAGAAAAAGTTCCTATTGATAAAAGTACATTAATGTAGGTCAAGTTAAACGTCCTTTATTTCTTTCAATCCGTCTGTAGACTGACATCAGTATGCGAGAAAAGCGACAGACAGAAACAGAAAAGAAGAACGAAGAAAAGAAATAGAAAGTAACGCAAAAGGCAAAGAAATATGGTTATATAATAAGCTTGACAAGGACGGCCACTAATAGTAACGAAGTACCAATCTGTTCTATATAGTCGTTATCCCGTCATTTAATAATATTCATTCTAATTTAAATCCTTTTTTCTCTGTTCTTTTTTTTCTATAAAACTTTTTCTAACGGAAACAATTTCTTTCTATGACTTTCAACATAAAGACATAGTTAGAAATTTTTTTTTTTTTAATCAGACAGAACGAAAAGAAATGTACTAACAGAAAAAAAGTGTCTCAAAGTACTGATGATCAGTCTAGTTAATACAAAAAAGAAAAATATACATAGCCAGTGGATCATATGTTATTGCTCTATTTTACAATTAAGTAAGCAATCGTCAAGGTAAATTTTATCGACTGTCGAATAGTCCAGAAGAAAAAAGAAAAAAAAACTGGCAAACGCGCAAGAACGATAAAATGGTAAAAGAACGAGATAGGAACAACATACGTCGTAAAAAAGTAAGAATAAGCACGAATCAGAAACAGAACGAAAGAAGAAAAAAAATAAGGTCATATAAGGACGTTGAGGCCATTCATAGAAGTGCCTTACTTAGTTCGTCGGTACTGATAAACTTCTGCGTACATAACAAAACCACGTGGTTATTAATCATTTGCATCGGATGATGAAAGAAAATGAAACAAAGAAAAACAAGAAAGAAAATACTAAATAAATTATCGCTTGTCTTTACAACTCCATGAAAAAAAAGTACAAAAGCGATTCACAATGTTCTCAAAATGAATAGAGAATAAATAAACCGTGTAAGCTATAAAACTAGTGTGATACACTGTTTATCGGGGCAAAAAGGCTGCATGAAGATAGATGATACTTTCGAGACATAAAAAGAAAAAAAATATAGAAATAGAAAAAAAAACAAGGGACTATTCTATTGTTATCCAATATGTTGTTTGGTGTCCATGAAAATATTTACTTATGAATAGATAATCATGATTTAACACACATGTACACAAAAACATTCGACATCATAAAATAATTATACATAAATTCTAATATATAGATTTAAGATTAAAGGTGATGATCAAAACACAAATGTATAGGAATACAAAGCAACTAACACTATACACCTCCGCATTGACTCATTTCATATGAAAATTACAAGAACAGCAAAAAACAAATGCTTGACAGCTTGACAATTTCCAAAAAAAAAGAAAAACAAAGACACGTATTATCTTAAGATATTCATGTTTGAGATACAAAATTATGTAAACTATTTCATAGTATCAAATCTACCATATACGTTCGACTTTATTTTATTCAAAATGACATATATAATTTATTTATTTTTTATAGTCGACTTCAAATAAAAGAATATGCTGAGTAATATTATGTTAGTAATCAAAATCCTTTATTTCTACGTCATATTCTATTTATAATTGTTTCAAGCATATGAAAAAGAACATTTATATATATAAGAAAAGTTATTACTCATTATATATACATCTATGTTATTCAACAATATTATTTCGATTGAATAAAACTAAGATGACTTCATAATTAGAAAAAAATAAAGTAGCTCTTGTTGTTTTTATGAGCGAATTAGTCAAAAATTTAACGAGCAATTTTTATTGAAGTAATCTTACCTTTATATACAATGATAAACTATAAATGATATATAACAAAACTGCTTATCCTGGGACAAATTCATTAGTCATAAAAATGAATGAAAAAACACAACAAAATGAATCATGTCTCAACATAGTACGATGTTTATGCTACTTCTGACAATATTTGATTATCGGTATCTCTGTGCTCTGTAAAGTACACAATTTATTATTAAAAAATTAAGAGAAAAAATGATCTTTTTTTTTGTTTTTTTTTTCTGTATTTTCTTTTAAATATAAAATGTGAACACATTATTAAAAATAGTCTAACAAATAACATGATTTGTATTATCAACTTATGTTGAATAATTCCTAGAGACTTATTCATTGAATGCATCAGATTATGATTTATGAAGAAATGATATAGAATACTTTTCTCTGGAGACAAAAACAAGAAAATAAACAAAAATCATCTTGCTTTATATAGCTAAAATAAATCAGAATATAAATATTTATTATTATCTAATGTTTATTCTATGTCGTTGACTTAAATATTCTTTCAATATTAATCATAAGAAAATTCTTATGCTTGTTCTGCCTTATTTCTTCTACCGTAAAAGTCAGATTAATAAAGAAAGCGTTCTTTTTAACTCACCGAATTATATGACGATATTAATTTTTTATTGCATACGTGATACAAATATGTATCCTTTTCATGAGCTTACCTGTATAGATGCTAAATTACATTTATGCATAAATGAGTAGCAAAGTACTTGTGGCCTTCAAAATACATATATACGTCAATATATATTTATATATTTCTATCCTCTTAAATATCTCATTAGAACGAAAAAAAAGCAACAAAACAAATAACAACTTTTTATCAACTATTATTAAGTTCAATGACAAATTAGTATATATATAGTCATCAATTTCATTGTTGTGTTATTTGAAAAACAAATCAACTTTTTTTTTTTTTTTTCTTTTATGAAATTTTATTGTGTACACTATGATTGAATAAGTCAAATTAAGTATATCATTGGTACGCTTTGTTATCAGAACAACAAAGGAAATAATGAATGAAATTGTGAAACCAACAGCAAGAAAGAGAGAAGAAAAAGAAGGGCAAAAAAAAACAGAGGCACATTCACATTAATTCATTTTTGTTACATACACACGGTGGTGAAAAAAAACGAAATGCAAAAAGAGAATCATGTCATGTCTCATCTGTGTTTTACACACAGACAAACACACAAACATAGCATTGCCTTAACTTATTTTTCTCGTGTTTACCACAATAAAACGAATGAGAGAGAAAAAAAAACAAGAATACACTTTTTAAGATATCATGCATGTTTATAAGATTGTTTTTGTGTCATTCGGAAAGCGAATCGATGTTACTTTTGGTTTTTTTTGTGAGTAAAAAGGAAGAGAAGAAAGAAAAACAGAGAGAAAAGATTATTATTTAATTTCTACAGATATAGAGACATGATAAGAATAAGAAACGAAAAAAAAAAGAAACTGCACACACATAAACACGCACACATACGTGTTTCACACACACACACCAAAAAAAAAAGAATCCGAGAATTTAATTGTTTTGCATTAAATATTTTTCAAGACATATAGATGAGGAAGAAAAAAAAAGCGCCGATCTTAATGTATTATTTGTTTAGAAATCATTCGTTATTGCAATTTAATTTGTTTGCTTTTTTTTTCTTTTCAAATAAAGGACGGGAAATTGACGATAATAGAATTCAAAAAATACGCACACACACTGTTTTACGAATAGCACTACTTTTTTTTGTTTTGTTTTTTGAAACGAAACAGAGTAACATATTCTTCTTTTTTCTAGGGAATGTTTTCGCGTCCCATCACTGCGAGAAAAAAAGAAATAGGTTGGTGGTAACTATGTACACTGTTACACGACACAAAGAAATACAAATAGTCAAAAGAAATTTGAAACAAAAGAAAAAAGAAACAAAAAAAAAGTAGTGCAAATAAAACACTGAGTTTTCTTTTTTTTTTTTATTATTATTATTTATCATGATCAATAAATCTTTTATATGTGTGTCTATGTGTGTGTGTGCATATATATCATTGCACTGTTGTAAATATAAATAGAAGGAAATGTTTGTTTGTTTTTAGAAGAAACAATAAGCAAGGATAGAGACAGAGAGAGAGAGAGAGCTAACAGCACCTCTATTGCACCTCAATTGCGCACATAAAAGAGGAGACCATAGAGAAAGAGATATAAAGAATGAAATATATATATGTATAAATATATACAAGAGATCAATTGTGGACGAGACGAAGAAAAAGTATTGATTTTATGTTGTTTTGTTTTGCAGCAAATTGCGACAAGAAGAGATACAAATTACACGAGAACACACATTACACACACAATGAATTGATCTATTGAGATAAAAACAAGAGAGCGAGAGAGAAACAGACAAAAAAAAGAATTGATCTAGCATTGTAGATAGAATAGATTAATGAGCATATATATATATATATATTAGAAATTAAAGAATATTCATTGTTTTGTTTTGAATTAAGCAAAATACATGACTTGAGCCGAATCAGGATGTACAGTTACTGCACGACTCAATTGAACTTGTTGTTGACCATTAGAATCACCATTCGATGATTGATGAGAACCTTCATTACTAAAATATACAAAAAAAAAAATTTTTTTATTAAGAAACAAAATAAAAAAAAAATATTCGTTTGATAAAATTAACCTTTCAGGTTCTCTTTCAATTAAATGATATCGTGCACGAAATGCAACAAGATGAGCATAATAAGCTGGTGCTGGTATTGACACAGAACGTGTACATCGTACATATGTATGACATAATTGATATGTTAATGCTTGAAGTTCGTCAGCAGAAAAATGATTATCATCCCATAAAACATGATAATGTGATGGTCGAGATGTGCCTTGTATACCAGCATGTGAACATAAATAAAAATCATATTCTGTTGGATGAGTTATTGCAACATCAACTGTTGTACCAGGTGGAATATTACCACTTTTACCACACTAAATTAAATAAATAAATAAATATATCATTTTAATTTTTTGATTTATTTATATTTCTTTTAAAGAAAATCAAAAAATAAATAAATAGGCTAATCAATGTTCTTTTTCCCTTACATATTGTTTGTCCTACGTAGAAAAAGCAAAATAAAAGATCAAGTTGCCCTTTATCGATATAATAGAGAAAAGAAAAAAAAAAAAAAACTTCATTTAATCGTTTTTTTTTTGTGTTTTAAATATAGATCAGTAGAATAGAGAAAAAATTTCCTTTTTTGTTTTTTTTCTGTAATAGAAAAACTTTTATATGAATAAATAATACAAGTCGAATTATAAGAAGAAAAATCACTAAGTAACTAAAAATAATGACGCACGTGAATATATATTCATAAATTAAAAAAGAACGTCAATGCATTTCAAGATATGACATTAAGAAAAAAATGAATACCACTAAAAACTATATTTTCTTGAAAAAAAAAAAACACAACGATTATGCATATTAAAACAAGAATAAATTCACTGAACTATCTTATTATAATTGATTTATATACATTAGTAAATCAATTATTTGCTAATAGATTAGTGTCCTACACGAGAGTATCGGAGCCTATAATAGATTTTCTTCATGCTTAGTTCATATTATTTTTTTTTTTTGTCTAAGTATCATAAGGAAATAACACGGATGTACTGAAGAGAAAAAGAGTGGGGCATGTTGAACTTTCTTATTTCATTGTAATTTATAAGATTGATCATCGATGCAAAAAGGAAAAAGAACATTTCTATTCGCTTTTATCAAAATAAACAATATACCAGACGGTTCAAAAGTCATCCGGCGACAGAGACGATGTCATTGCATGACTGCATTAATGATTTAATGTCGGTTAATGACCGAATTATCAGTTAGTAGACTTTAGATAAATATTAATAATATAGAAGTTCAATTCTAAGAAATGCGTAAGATTCGCGTGCTCATACCTTCGCCAATCAAATGTTGCAACTTATTATTCTTAAATAGATCACGATAACAATATATTCATAGACACTATTAATATTTTTCTGAAGCTCATTGACTGACAAACTTGTATTGTTGAATTATAAATGGAACTATACAATGACATACACCCAATGAAAGCCTACAGGTCTCTATCTAAACAAAGACTATCGAATGACTTTTGAGACTACTGTTTATATATTTGAAATATTAAAAATCAAAAATAATCAATCATTACCTGCTCTTTTTTATCAGCACAGAAAAGACGTGTATGATGACGTTTTTGTACTACAATAAATGTAATACCAGGTTGATATGATGATTCAAGACGAACACAAGCTTCACGTACAGCCATTAATTCATGTGCAAGTACATGTGCAAATTGTCCTTCACTAACACCATCACGATATAAAATAATACGTGCTGGTTTAAAACGTGTTGATTTATAAAATTGTATAAGTAATTCTCTAACCATAGTTGATAATTCAGCAATAACTTCATGACGATGCATTTGTATACGAACAGTAGCTGCATATCGTGATGGATGAGCATCCATTGAACCAACAACCTATTTTATTTTTTATTTTTCTTTGATATAACAATAATAAATAATAAAACTACTTACAGCAGCTATTGATGGTTTTGATCTATCACCAGCTGGTGGATGTGTTACATCAGCACCAATAAATATAACTGGTTCACGAAAAACACTTATTGGTCGTACACTTGGTACAAGTATATTATTAACACCACCTAATTTAACATTAATTTTTAAACATAAATTAGATAATGTTTGTGGTGTTGTTTTATTAACATTTTTAGCTTGTACACATTGTGTTGCTAAACCAATTAATGTATCACCAACACGTTTAACTTCAGCATAAACAGGTGTTTTACCAGGTAAAACAACAACAATTAATTGTAAACCATTATATGTTGTTTTAAGAAATTTAAACATTGGTTCAACTTGTTCAATACCAGTTGCATATTTGCAAAAACATGGTTGACCAACAATTGGCATACCAGCATCATTTGATATTCGTTGTAATTGTTGAGTAAATGTACGAAGTGCAGCTTCATTACAATTTCGTTGTGGTGCAAAACATGCTATAGCCCATATACGAATTTCAATACCTGTATGAAATTGTTTACCACGCATATCCCATACACCTTGATTTGGTGTGACAATAACTTTTGTCTGAATATATAGAAAGATTTTTTTTTTGATGAAATTTTATTTAAATTAAATATTCTTACTCGGCCACCATATTGAATTTTAGGAGCGGTTAATACACGACCTGTAACTTCAGTCATATTTGTTAATATATTAATACCAAAATGAGTAACATAAACATCATTATTAAATTCAGCTTTTCGTACCTAAATAATAGAAAGTTTTTGAAATTCGCCTATTTTGATCGATATTTCTATAATTAATAATGCACAATAGAAAAAGATGCTGAATTATTCTTTTTAGCATTTAAATCGATTAGAATTATGTGAAAACAGATGCTAAAAATTTTTTTTTTTGAAGTAAATCTAAGACATACAGATCAAATATTCTCCTATGTCATATCAATTGAAATTAAGTTCATATAGAAAACTAATTTTTTTTTGTATTTTAATTTGAGTAGAACCCTTGGAAAATGTATATTCTATGATGAATCTGCAATAAACATGTGCAAGACCGAGATGACGAGATAGAAAAATGCCGTCCCGACCGACACTAAAGATTAAAGTTCAATATTCTAAACGACCTGTCATATCGATCAGGAGATAACTGAATCAAGATGATCCAAAAAAGTCCAAGTAGTTGAATAAATAAATAATAAAAAAAACGAGTTTTGTAGGATTTTTTAAATATCTGATACAGATAAATTGTGAAATAGACTTCGTTAGATCGGAGTTGTCCATATTTTTGCAGTTGTGGAACAGACGAAAAATTTAGCAAAATGTTCTTTTATCCTCGGAGTACAAAAAGTGGTGACCCGATCTCGAACGCAAAAGTCGACCTGTCTCTAGGCCATCCCGCTTCAAAACCTTTTCACCTCGCAACGACACGCTCTACTCATTTCTATTTTACTTTCGGCTCGCGTAAGACAAACGTGTTTCAATATCTGGTGTCTGTCTAAAGTTATCACATAACTGTCAAAAATTAACAGCAAGGAAAAACATTTTGTAGGGAGAAGGCAGGAAAAATCTTGCCTAATTAAAAACTCTACCGGATTCAAAAAAACTTAGTTCCGTATATTTCTTGCATTTACAAAATCTTGAGCGTTCTTATATTCGAATTATTTCAATCAGTGAATATCTCATTTTATATAGATTCATGAGAACCAGATCAAACAACCAATCATATCTGATCTCTCAAAACTTAGATAAAAATGTACAAATATTCATTGTCTCCAGTGACGTATCCAGGATTTTTCAGTATGCTGAATCTTGACTTTTGAGCATGGGACCCAAATGAAACTCATAGAGGGTGATGTTGAGTCCAAATGATGGAATTTTATCAAAAAAAATTTGCACTCGGAGTTTGCGAAAAAAATTAGCATTTTCCTGATCCCCCTCCCAGGATTTTTTACTGTTAGTATTATCTTGGATTTTAGAATTTTATAGGAAGCTATACCAAATTTCATCGACAGATTTTAAATTTCGTCTAAAAATGTGCAACCGTTCAAGAGTTATGATGTTTTGAAATTTCGAAAAAATTGTTTCCACATGTGGCAAAAATTCAAAAAGTTATAACTCT